GTCTTAATTATAGTATTTTAACTTCGTTTTCAGGTTTTTTACCATAGGCTTGTGTTGTGGATAAGTTTCCTGTTGAAAAGAAATAAATGCCTTTTGTGGCGTATTGGTATTGTGAATGACTTGGTTTTAAGAGACGAAATTGATTTTATTCCTTTGTTTACAGTGAATAGTATCCACAACTCAAGCCTCTGAGATAGTTTCCATGCTTTGATTTAGAATAGCCTTTATCAGCTCATTTAGACATGTTTATGTATTATAGTATAGCCCCTAATGTAGAAGTATGTTGTTTGCTTCATTGTGTATATTGACAGCATTTTAAAGTATGATTTCACCATAGGCCTTTAGAGGTAGATAATGGCTAGAAATAGGCTTCAATGTGTATCTTTCCAGAATGTGCTTAGAGGTATGATGATCTGTAGCATGAAGTGAGATATTTTTCACAGAAGGATCAAAAAGAAAGAATAATGATACCGTTATTCCATATGATTCTGGAGGACTTTCACTTTTCTACCACATTTCTTTCTTAGGAATATGCTTGTTCTGTCTATATTGTAATGTTTTCATGGTTTAAGTATTTGAGAATATTTACCAATCAGTATCTGAAAATAGCATGGGAATCTTCTCATACTCTAATTATGATATGCATAGTTTTTCATGGTATATGATAATATGAAGATACCTTGTCACAAGTATCTTTCTTAAAAGCATGTATATCATGTCTTGTAAATATCATTTCCGTTTACTGATACGGTCTCACAGAATGTGTTAGTTAAGGAGAAAACTCTCTTCTGTCTGATTATATTATTACCTCATTTACCAGTGTATAATTCTAATACATGTTTTTTGTCATGAAATGGGGAAAAAAAATTCATCTTGTGTGAATATAGGTGTAGCTGCATCTCATTAAAGAAAGCATCCCCTTTGTCATTAAGAGTATTTTATATAGTTGAGACCTCAGTGAGTGGGGATTTGGTGGCAGGAAATAGCAGCCTATGATAGGTCTAAACAATATGCTGTAACAGAAAATCCTTGATGCCAGTTGTGTGTTCAATAATGAAGATTTTGCTTTCAGCTCTTAATCATTTTTTTCAGGGTTATACAATAATATGTTGTAGGTGTTAAGGTTTCTATTTTTATTTATAGATGTTTATTTTTTAAGTATTAGATCTTGTTAAATGTTGTAAGCATAATAGTTGTCAGTATTTTAATTATTTCTAAGCCACTGGATAGTAATCTTCTCCAAGGGTAAGAACGCCAATACTGATGCTTGCTGTGCCATACCTCATTCAGGATCCGGTCTGCTGAGCACAGCACAGAGCTACCCGACGTTGACCTCCAGCACCACCTCAACTACCTCCACCACAACCACTGGGGCTGCGGCCTCCTCCACCACCAACCAGCCCTCTACCAACCTAGCCACCTTCCCCCATGGCCTGACCATGAGCCTCACCTCAACGTCCAGTGACTCGGAACAAGTTAGCCTAGAGGTGAGTAGGCATTTCTCTGTATGGATCTCTGTGTAGGTTAGTTTAGGGGTTACTGTTAGGTGGTGTGATGTTCCTTTATTCCTACTCAAAGGGTGAGCTTAGAGGTTACAGTTAGGTGGTGTGATGTTCCTTTATTCCTACTCAAAGGGTGAGATTTTTTTTTCTACCTTATCTATTACAAATTGTGGAACATTAGATTACTTGGAGGATATTGTTTTGAGGCTGCTTAATCTTTCAGTGATCTGATTTTGTTTATTATTTTTATGTGTTAGATACCAAATAATTGAGATACATAGTGGTAACAATAGTTTGTCTCTTTATATTCAGGATTTCCTTGAAAGCTGTCGGGCAAGTACACTGCTTGCTGAGTTGACAGATGATGAACTGCCAGATCCTGATGATGATGAAAATGATGATGATGACAATGATGACGATGATGATGACTATGAGGAAGAAGAGGAGTGCTATGAAGTCAGTGTAAGAATAGAATGGAATGCTTTATTTCATTGGTTTGGTTGTGTTTAGTTATTTATTTGTTATTTGTTTTTACATAGATTTAGTCAAGCAAAGTGTTTGGATGTACTGGATTCTTTAAAAAAATGTATTTAGGTTATTATTTTTATTTTACTATTTAGTTATTTTCTACTTAAGTATGGGAAGGTTTGCAGTTAATAGTAATGATTTGGTTTTGTTTATGCATCATAAATTGAAGAATTTTTTGAAGTTAAAATTTAGTGCATTGTTGTATTACAGATTCTTAGACAACGTAATAATTGCTGCTGTTTGAATGCTTAGCATCATGGAAATGTTCTGTAGTTGTTGTTTTTATACATTTGAGATGAGGAATACATAATTGATAATCTGATTTGATAGACTTTTGAAATTTTGAGGCTGTGACGGTTCTTGAACAGTGGGTCCAACAGGACTTGGGTCAAAACAATATAATTATATAGATTTATTTATGCCACTTAAACTGAATAATGTTTTGAAGGTGAAATTTAGTGCATTATTATATTACAGATTTTTAGACAGTGTAACAATTGCTGCTGTTTTAATGCTAAGCATCATGGAATTACTCTTCAGCTGTTGTTTTTATACATTTGAGATAAATATTTTTATTAATAAGCTGATTTGATAGACTTTTGAAACTTTGAAGCTCTGAAGCTTCTTGAACAGTGGCTCCAACAGGACTTGGGGCAAAACAATATAGTGATATAGATTTCCTCGTTCCGTCAGGTCCGTAACGGCAAGAGAAGAGGATGGGATGACGAGTTTGTCATAAAAAGACAGTTCCCAGCTCTCATTCCAGCCTTTGACCCTCGTCCAGGACGTACTAATGTAAACCAAACACAAGGTGAGCAAAAAGTTTATGTTCTGGAATTTGGTGTTGGGAGTCTGCAGAGCCTGTCCGTCTTTTAGGTTGATATTGGAAAAAGGAAGGGTATACACTTGGTTGTTTGTTATTTATTTATACTAAGATAGTAGTTTATGGGAAAAATGTATTAGTAAAAAAGTTAGAGCATAATAGGGAAGTTGGGATATAATGAGAAAGAGAGAGAGATCTTCATCAAGAAGTCAGGGGCATAAATAGATAGAAAAAACAAGTGATCTGAAGTGATAACCTGAAATCTTAACCAATCTAATGCTTAATCACACACACAGATCTGGAGATTCCAGCCCCAGGCACGGAGGACCACTTATGTGATGCACCAACTGAGGTAGTGAGTGGCCCTCGACTCAGTCTCACTCTGCGGGGACCCAATCTCCCCGGGATACCAGAAGTCGATGTACCCATTACAAAGAGTTCTTCAACCATCTTTAGTGTTGTTCAGACCTTAGTGAACACTGCCAATTTCCCCTCACGGCAGGAGAGATTGAGACGGATTTGGGAGCCAACTTACACGTGAGTAGATACTAGTAAACTTTTTTTTTTTTTATATATGTCTTATAAATATTGTGTTTTTGATTATCCTTCTATTTGTTCATGCACCTTCTGTCTTTTATTTTGAAGTTAATATGAAATAGATATAACTTCTATTATTGAGATTCTACCACTACATGTCATTCTCACCAGTTATCAGTGAATAACCAAACACTCTTAATTCCAGTCTTGTCTATGGTGAGGCTCGTGAAGATGAGGGCACGGAAGGGGAAACCTCTGGCCACCAATCCTTCCAGCGTCGCAGTTCCCGAACCAACATCCTCACAGAAGCTGCAGGCTCGACTCACCCTGGCAGCACGAGCACAACTGCCACTGGGGATCCTTCAGTGGAGGATGTGCTACAGCTGCTACGTCAGTTATTTATTTTAGGACAAGATAGCGCCGCAGCAGGTATGTTTTTGTACATCTATCAATTGATATCAACTCTTGTAATTTTTTTCTTGTGGGAAGATTATGGATTATAGTTGTTAAAGGTGTCTCTGCAGCTTTACAACAATTTTTGTTAAAGAATGATGGAAAAAAATATTAATTTTAATTGCATATCTTAGTTTTATGTATGAATTCTTTCAAGGTGAATTATATTTGAATGTTTATGTATTTTTTATTCTATTATTCTGTCCTAAGTACTTAAATACATTCTCCTTTCATTCTTTCAGAAAAATTAGATTCACCAATGGATACATTAGGAGTGAGGTGTGAAGAATTTGAATCCAAGAAAGTTGGAAATAAGCTAGTCCAGCAGGTTAGTAAAATGCGTGACTATATTTCGTTTGATTAATTATAGGGTTTGCGCTTATTGTTTCATTGTTTTTATTCTCCTGTGGTTGATTAGTTTGATTAGGGTTCAAAGGAGTTTTCTGTATTTTATGTGTTATTTTGTGATGATTAACTTTTTCCAAGGTGGGAGAGGCTGTCGTCCTTGCCTGTGGTGCGCTTCCGTCGTGGTGCGAAGACTTGACCTATGCCACCCCCATGCTGTTTCCCTTTGACACTAGACACCTTTACTTCAACTGCACTGCATTTGGTCCAGAGAGGTAGGAATCCTAGTTCTTTTTGTAATGGTGTGTGTGATGGTTATAACAATTGTAATTATGATCATGACTGTTATGATTATACTTACAATTATGATAATGATTATGAGTGATAATGATAGATATAGTAACCAAACAATAATAACCATTGTCTGTTCTTAGGTCCTTGGTGTGGCTCCAAAGTCAGCGTGATGTTAGCGTCGAACGCCGTGGAGGCTTGAGACGAGATGACCCACATGAATACAGGGTTGGACGGCTTAAGCACGAGAGGGTCACTGTTCCTCGTGGCCCCAATCTGTTGCAGTGGGCTCAGCAGGTGGGCAGAAGGGAGAATTTTTTAAGTTTAATTTTATTGCCTTTAGTTTTTGATGCACAATTAGGAGGAAATGGAGATGGGGAGCTTGAAAAAGTATTGAATGGATAGGCAGCCTGTGAGTTGGGGAATATTTTTTGACTGTAGCAACAATAGTGGGGGTATGGGTTTTAAGATTTTGGGGAATGGGAATATGCCTAGATCCATTTAGGTCTCTGACTTTCAAAAAATGGTTCTTGAATTTAGTAAAGTGCATAAGGGATAGCCTTCTCCTTAAATATTTGAATTTTAGATTATTACAGATATGTTTGTATTTTAGATTATTACAGATATATTTGTATGTTTGTTGTTAACAGCCATAATTTAATTGTTCTTCTAGGTCATGCATATTCATGCAGCACGCAAATCTATTCTTGAAGTTGAATTCCGTGAAGAGGAAGGTACTGGCTTGGGCCCCACTCTGGAATTCTATGCACTGGTGGCAGGAGAGCTACAGCGTGCTGATCTTGGAATGTGGCTGTGTGATGACCAGACTGCAGACCCCATCACTCCCCCAGCTCTTGATGGTGGTAATGGGAATGGGGATTCTCAGGCCAGGCCTCCAGGATATTACATCCGTCGTCAAGGAGGCCTCTTCCCTGCTCCCCTTCCTCAGGATAGCTCTGTTTGTGACAAAGCTGTTGAATTATTCACCTTCTTGGGAATATTCCTTGCCAAGACTTTGCAGGATAACAGACTTGTGGACTTGCCATTGTCTCGTCCTTTCCTCAAACTCATGTGCCATGGTGAGTTTGCCAATGTGAAGGACAGAGGCATTGCTGGAAGCGCTATCAAGCCTCGTGGAGGATTGTCTTCTCTGCCTGCAGAGGAGGATCTCATGACCTCCTCTATTATTAGCGAGGAGAGCGAGAAGGAGTTGGAATTAGACCCTCCCAAGTATCGCATCACAGATACTCAGCCCTGGTAAGTGTAGAATTTATTTATTATTACAAAGTTAATGATTACCAGTTGTACACTGAGTTATTGAACATGATTCAGAAAATGAACCATTAATAAGTATTACTTGTAATAAAGTGTTTGGTCTACAAGAAGAATTGATTTCCTAATTCTTATCAATTTACTGAATACTTGATTAATTTCTTTTTTCTTTTGCAAAGGTTTACGGGGCTGTTGACCTTAGAGGACTTGTGTGAAGTAGATGAAGAACGGGGAGGATTCCTTCAACAACTCAAATCCCTCGTGGCCATCAAGCAGCAGATTGTTAATGATACATCCATCACAGAGGAGGATCGGCGCCTTCAGCTCCACAACCTGGCCCTTCCATTGCCAAGCAGCAGCCAGGGTGCAGGACCTCCAGCAGTTAGACTAGAGGACCTGTGTCTCACTATGCAGTATGCTGCTCCATCACGACACTTGGGTTACACTTCCATTGAGCTCAGGTCAGGAGGGTCTGACCAGGAGGTGACCCTAGACAATGTGGAGGATTATCTTGATCTTACCTTGAACTGGGCTCTAGAGAGTGGCATTAGAAGGCAGTTGGAAGCTTTCCGGGCAGGATTCTGCCAGGTGTTCCCTCTAAAGAAACTTGGTGCATTTAGTCCAGATGAATTACGGCTGATGTTGTGTGGTGACCAGGCACCCATGTGGACGCGTGAGGATATCCTGGCTTACACTGAACCCAAGCTGGGATACACAAGAGATTCCCCAGGATTCTTGAGACTGGTGAACATTCTTGTAGGACTTACAGCAGAGGAACGTAAAGCCTTCTTGCAGTTTACAACCGGATGCTCCTCATTGCCTCCTGGTGGCCTGGCCAATCTACATCCTCGCTTGACTGTGGTTCGCAAGGTAGGATTTAATGATTCCTGTCACTTGATTTCAGCTATTTAGCTACAGGATTTATGAATTGCTTTAGAAATATTGCAGTGCACTTTCATTTAATGTGGAAGGCATTAATTTTAGTAATAAAGTTTGGTAACAAAATTATTTTTTATTCAACTGTAACAAAGTTTTCTTCCCTCCACAGGTTGATGCTGGTGACGGCTCCTACCCGTCCGTTAATACATGTGTCCATTACCTGAAGTTACCAGATTACTCTTCTGAAAATATAATGAAGGAAAGGCTCCTAGCAGCCACTCGTGAGAAGGGCTTCCATCTCAACTAAATAATGATAAAGACTTTATGCTCAGGTGATTGCGTTAAGAGTATAATAATTCAATAGATTTTATGAAGAAAAATAAAATTCTTGTATTCATGGACAAAATCATCATATTGATGGACAAAAAATAAATAGTGCATATATATCAGGGCCAAATTTCAAGGAATGGGAGAAATTGTTCAACATTTCTGGACTATTTGCAACAGTAATTTGCAGACCAAAATTAGTGTTAAGTGAAAACTTTTGTCAGAAAAAATGTTAATCTTTGTTCCCTAGTGGCTGGTAAAAAGTGAAAGTGAACAAGTGATATGACTTTATGAAAAAAAAGATTTGCTTGGAATTTTGAGTGTGGCATGATTGCTGCCAAGGACTCAGTAATTACACATACTTACTGACTGACTTACTGAGAAAAAAAGGATGAAAATCCACAGAACCAGTTGTCAACTATCAAACCAAGAAAACTCGACATACTTGAATTCAAGAATGTGTCTGCATTCTGAAGTCTGCGAGATGAATTTGCACAGTGTTAAATGTCATGTTAAATGTTCCCTGGTGGAGCAGAGCACATCTTGCTAGCTGTTATCATTGACATAAACAGACTTCTTATACCGCCTGGACCACCCTATACATCGGAATCATTCACCTTGTTAGTCAGCCCCCATTTGATCAAGGATGAAAAATTTGGTATGTTGTACATTTGGGTGTGATGTGTGTGAATGCTTTGCGAAAACCTCGGCCAGAGTAATATTGCACAAATGTTTTCATGCCATGTGAATGTGATGCATTAGACTTACAACCCTGATGTTCTGACAGGTATTGATACCATGCAGGCTGACAATGGCCAGTTGTTGTTTTATGTTGTCACCATTAGCTTATGTCTCTCTGTGATACTGATGTTGAAGGCATTGCATAGGCAGCAAATTGTAAATAGAGATGTACATCACAAATATGCCACTGTAACAGTGATGTGTCTTTAAGTAGCAACTAAGCATCCATGATACTGAGGAGAAAAAAAATATTAAAAAGGGGGATGATATTGTTGATTAGGTGGTTGTGTGGTGGAGTAGCATCTTGTTGTGGTTATGTTAGTGTCAGCTGTTCTCACCTTGGCTTGTTAGGAAGGATCTCATGAGAAAGTAAGCATGATTAAACATTCACAGTAGCTGATGCTTGTATGTGCATTTTTGATATATGAAAGAAGCAACCCAGGCATATCTTCTCTCGTAAGTAATACTTGATCCCTGGCATTTTGTGTCAAAATGTACTGGGTTTTTTGGCTGCCTGGACAAGTCAGCACTCTTATGTGGTTACACCAATGATAGGCAAATTTCTTTCACCTATAGCCTCAAGCAGTGTAGTGTATTATGTTTTTATTTGAGTCATTTACTAGCATTTTGGGTATTTAATTTGAGCTTTGTGCACAACTCTGTAACATGGCTCCTCTCTTTTTTTACGTTGTCACTAGTACAGGCTGACAGTTATTGACGTTTATGCAGATTGTCACATCATAGTCATGCTCTGTGTTGTGCCTTATTATTTCCTGTTCTGTTGTTGTCAAGACTTTTCTATTTCATGATTTGGTGTACTGAATTTTTTATTCTGCTGTATTGTAGATAGTAAAAGTATTGCAAATGTTTTTCTGTTGATATATTTGGATATGAAGTTTGTGCAGTGAGGTTTTGAGAGAACTTTGATGGGGAGGAAAAAAAAAAATTAAAAGTCTATAAAAAAAAGTTTATCTAAGTCATTACACAGAAATTATAATTGACCTTATCACTTCATGAATTTATGATTTCTGCGGATATGTAGACGTGAAGTTGAACGTATTCTTTCTTAAGATGGGACAATGAACAGTAGAAAATATAGGGATTTGGCCAACAATTCATGCTCATATATGAGTACATTATTGCTATGAGTCGGGCAATGAGCTCATAATCTCAGAAACATTGCTCCCGCTGTAGTTTGATTTTCATGTATATGTCGAAGCAAGCTTGTGTGTTAGAATGCATGAGAAAGAGTTTAGAATTATATTTTTGACATATTACTAGATTATCTGTTTAGTTCCCTTCCACGTGTTTCTTTTTTCTTTTTTTATTTCTCCAGCAATATTAGTGCTCATAGTTGGAGCAGATATTAAAAGGTTGGCTGTTCAAAATGCCCTATCAAACTGTACTCTAGAATGAGTGAATTAGCTCTGAATCGTGATATTGGTTGGTGCAGCCTTACATTTGAAAGCTGAGTTATGTTATGCCAGTCTGTTGATGCATAATGCACGACAGGCACTATCCATTAAACTATGTCTAGGTTCAAAGTGCCTGTACATTGTAATGATGTACTTATGGTGGATCTGTAATGCTGCATATATATAGATATATATATATCTGTGAAAAGAATATTAAAAAAAATAAATAAAAAAAGTTCTACATACAGTACTGTATTGTGTTTTCTTTCATACTTTCCATTGCTTTATTTATTGTTTGGCTCTTTATTTTATTTAAATCTTATTCTTGACAAGACACTGTTCTGGATGCGGATTGACTTCTTGGTGCGGAGTAATTCTCTAGCACTCTTCATACACACTAGAGTTGCAATTGGAGCTGCAAAATGAATACTGTGATTTATGTTTATTTAAAAAACAAAATTAAGGAAAAGAATGTGATCTTTCATGAAAATGGAGCTTGCATCCTGACTAAAAAATATTTCCCCTCAGTGAATGAGTAATTTTGTAATTTCAGAAAATCTAGGACCAAAAATTATAGAAAAAAGGTGTGTAAAACAAACCATGCATAATCAAAATAATTATGAATTTTATCTTCCAGTATTAATAAATTTGAGTACTCTAACAGTACTGTAGCAACAAAAGTAGCAGAAGCAGTGTCAGTATCAGTAAATATACCATTAACAAAACCGTAAAAGCAATATACAGGGTTAGAAAAAAGTAACCAAAATTGAAACAATAACACCGAAAAGGGTTTTCAACATTTTTCAACATCTATGAAAATATTTGTGAGCTGTTATGTAGTGGTAGCGCTCTCGTCTATCAATCTTGCTGACCCGCGTTCAATCCCGCGCGCTGACAGTGGATGGAAACCAAAGACTATCTATATATATAGTCTTTGATGGTAACCCTGGATATTCCTTGCACACAGGGGGAGATTTAGAAGTAAAATAAACAGATAGAAATGTCACAGCAAAGCATATCCATTGTAACAAATGTAGTTATACTAAACTGTTATTATCATCGTTAATTATTATTAGCTATTATTGAGGAAAATATTTGATAGTTGTAAGGTTGGCAGAAATAACATATCAACGATAGCATAGCAGCAACGGTGGCAACACGACAGTCAAGGAAAAGGGAAAGAAAAGGGACAAAAAATGAATAAATGAAAGAAATAAAATAAGATAAAAATACGATTAAAACAAATACCATGGGTGAAAATTAGTCTCGGGCACACTAAGATCAGCACCATCTGACGGCAGTAGAGAAGTATAGGCCTACGTTAAGCAATTTTAGGATGAATTGTTACACGATTTATTGCACTGTCATGCACGACGAACTAAAAGTTATCTGGGAAGAGATTCATGATTACATTTAATTGCGGTCGAGTTTTGTGTTATATTTTTTTCAAGTCATTTGTGACTGTTAGGCAAAACAAAGACATGAACACATGCATGCCCCTTCACTTACAGTAACACGTACACATCCACATCCACACCCACACACGTATACACATACACATACGCTTACACACGATCGCGCATGCACATACTGCATATACATTGACGCTTACGTTTACACATACACCTACAGTCACACTCACACTCACACTCATGACACACACACACACACACACACACACACACACACACACACACACACACACACACACACACAACACACACAACACACACACACACACACACACACACACACACACACACACACACACACACACACACACACACACACACACACACACACACACACACACACACACACACACACACACACACACACACACACACACACACACACACACAGAGTATAAATAGACAATTAGATAGACAGGATGATTGATTGATAGACGGATAGATAAAAAGGTAGGTAGGGAGGTAGAACAAATACATAGATAAAGATAGTTAGGAAAGTAGACATAAATAGATAAATAGATAGAGAAATAAATCGATTGAGTGACAGCCGGACTGCTAGACAAATAGACAGACAGATAGAGAGATATATACAAAAACACACAGATACCCAGAGACAGACAGATAGATAAATAGACAGACATATAGATAGATAGATAGATGGATAGACAAAGATAGATGAATTTATAGATAGACAAATAACCAGTCAGACAAACAGACAGAAAGTCAAACATAGAGAGACAGACAGACAAAGAGATAGAGAGACAGATAAATAGATAAATAGATAGATATACGGAGAGACAGAAGGGTAGGTAGGTAGATAGAATAAATATATAAAGATAGTCGGTGAGTAAACAGATAGATAGATAGACAGAAAGATAGAGAAGAGATATAGATAGAGATAGATAGATAGATAGATAGATAGAGAAATAGATAGATAGATAGACTGAGTGGCAGACAGACTGCTAGACAAATAGACACACAAATAAATATGATAAACAAATAAATAAAACAAACAAAAAATAAAGATTAGCAAGTAGAAACTTATGCACATCTGAATGCACGTTGGAAAAGCTTTGGAAAAAAAAATAAAGAATGCTCCCTGGATTATAAAAAAGAAAAAAAGTGGGGGGGATAGCATTTCGTATCTTCTTTATGCAGATATTCTAATCTCGGAATGCCATGCATAAATGTATATATAAGTAAGGGGGAAAATAAGTGTTCGTTTCTTATGGCGGGAAAATGTGGGATTCAAAACATTACTTTTTACCTGTGTTTTTTTTTTTCAGTCAGCGAAAGGAAGGTATTGGTGATGGCATTATTAACGATGAATATGAAGATCTCTGAATATTATCACTTGTCTATTTAACAAGACGAAAGGAAGAATATTAACGATGAATATGAAGATCTCAGAATATTATCACTTGTCTATTTAACGAGACGAAAGGAAGAATATTAATGATGAATATGAAGAATGTGAAGAATATGAATATGAAGAATAATGAATAACGATGAAGAATGTGAAGAAAGAATATGAAGAAAGAATATGAATATGAAGAAAGAATATGAATATGAAGAATGTGAAGAATATGAATATGAAGAATGTGAAGAATATAAATATGAAGAATAATGAATAACGATGAATATAAAGATCTCAGAATATTGTAACTTGTCTATTTAACGAGACGAAAGGAAGGATATTAATGATGAATATGAAGATCTTTAATAACGATGAATATGAAGAATATGAAATAACGATGAATATGAGGAATATGAATATGAATAATGAATAACTAATAACGATGTATATGAAGAATATGAATATGAAGAATAATGAATAACGATGAAATAACGATGAATATGAAGATCTTTAATAACGATGAATATGAAGAATATGAAATAACGATGAATATGAAGATCTTTAATAACGATGAATATAAAGAATATGAAATAACGATGAATATAAAGAATATGAAGACTATGAATATGAAGAATAATGAATAACGATGAAAATGAAATAACGATGAATATGAAGATCTCTGAATATTGTCACTTGTCTATTTAACAAGACGAAAAGAAGGATATTAATGGAAATTGGCAACAGTGATTAGTACCTACAGTAAACCAGTGATTATTTTCTTACCTGTCTATTTTCTTTGTGATTGTTCTTTTTTTTTAGTTTTCGTTTTGTCGGTTTTATATTCTCATTAGATAAATGAAATGCATATCCTGCAAGGCTTTTAGTAGTTTCATATTTTTTAATATTTTGAACATTGCAATCGTTGTATATCCATTGGTGTGACTCGATTTTTTCATAAACTGGAGTCTGGTTTTTATTTGATGATATATATGTATATTATATATATATATATATATATATATATATATATATATATAATATATATATATATGTATGTATATGTGTGTGTGTGTGTGTGTGTGTGTGTGTGTGTGTGTGTGTGTGTGTGTGTGTGTGTGTGTGTGTGTGTGTGTGTGTGTGTGTGTGTATACCTATGTATGTATATACGTATGTATATGTCTATATATTTATTATTTGTTTATTCATATATACATATACACATACGTATGTATATGTATACGCACTATATGCACATGTGTATACATGTATAATATATATATATATATATATATATATATATATATATATATATATATATATATATTATATTTATGTATATATGTACATAAATATATGTGTGTATATATGTAAATATATACATATATATCAATATATATAAGTATGTATTTATATATGTGTGTGTGTGATCATGATCTGACTTTCCCTTGCAAGACGTATTTCAAGGACCTCCGACTCTCCTGTGCGTATGTCTCACGTGATTGGGTGATTCCAGACTTTGCTTTGACGAGTTTCCAGTGACAACTTCCCGTAAAAGACCTGCGACCTCACTTGCTATTTCAAATGTCTTCTGCAGGCTGCCTATCCGTAAAGTACTGTGGCTGTGTACTAGTTTGTGAGGTTGTCTTTCTCTCTGTTCTTTCTCTCTCTCTCTTCGCCTCGCTTTCTTTCCCCTTTCTTCTCTCTCTCTCTCTCTTCCGCTCCTCTCTCCCTCTCTTCCCCTACCTCTCCCTCCTCTCTCTCTCTCTCTCCTTCCCCCCTCTCTCTCTTCCCCTACCTCTCTCTCTCTCTCCCTCCCCCCTCTCTCTCTATTTATCTATCTATCTCCCCACCCTCTCTCTCTCTTCTCTTCCTCGCTTTCTCTCTCTCTTCCCCCTTTCTCTCTCTCTTCCCCCTTTCTCCTCTCTCTTCCCCCTTCTCTCTCTCTCTTTCCCTCGCTCTCTTTCCCCTTTCACTCTTTCTCTCTCTCTCCCTTCCCCTACCTCTCCCTCTCTCTCTCTCCCTCCCCCCCTTCTCTCTATTTATCTATCTATCTCCCCATCCTCTCTCTCTCTTCTCTCTCTCACACACACATACACTTCAAACTTCTCCCCTCTCTCAGTCTTCCTTTTTCTCCCCCTCTCTCTCTATCTCTCTTTTCGTTCCTACTTCCCCTCTTCGTCTCCACGTAGACTCTGGTTCACACCCTCTCTCGTGATTACTTTACTGCCTTTTTAATTCAGCATTAATTCCGAATTGGTAATTAATCCATTGCAGGCACCAGTCGGACGTCCCTACCCTTCTCAACTTTTTTTTTTCTTTTTCTTTCTCTCTCTCTGTCTCTCTCTCTCTCTCTCTCTCTCTCTCTCTCTCTCTTTTTTTTTTTTTTTTTTTTTTTTTTTTTTTTTTTTTAAGGTCGAATTCA